GCTCACCAATGGATCCTCTGCAGTGAATGGGTGCCATCAGAGTGCAGAACATGCAGCTTTTCACTTCACAAGATGTTAATTGACGGACTTAAGTCGTGTGGATTACTTGTGGATTATTGTGAAAGTTTTTATCAGCTGTTTTGACTCTCATTCTGACGGCATCCATTCACTCCAGAGGATCCACTGGATCCACTAAATTTCTCCAAATCTGTTCCAATAAATAAAGCCACTCATCTATATATTGGATAGCCTGAGGGTGAGTGAATATCAGAAGTTTTCATTTTTGGGTAAACTATTCATGAGCTTGTTCTATGTGTGCATGGTTTTTTTGTTTATTCAGCAAACTTTACAGGCCCTATTTAAGGTCACATAAACATTAAACATTAACCTAAGTGCAGTTTATTCCTGCTCTTTTGCAGCATGGCAGTCTGAAATAAACAGTTTTTGTTCATTATATCATATGCAAACTTACCAACATCTGCTGCAATGACAATGGCCTCGTCAGAAAAGCCCAGAGATAAAGCAAAAGATCTGAACTTCTCTATTAGTTCTGGCCTTTGTATAGATGACCGGCCTAGGATAATGTTTCTGACAAATTATTATGCTTCATTAATATGTCAAACACAAGTCATATAATTTATCAGTGTAGACTTACCGTAAAGAGCTACTTGAGTGTATTCTTTGTGCATGTTCTTGTATTTAAGGACCAAACTATAATCAGTGTAATTGGTCTCCACTATTGTGATGTCTTTTATTATATTGTGTCCTTAAAATGACAAAAAGTCAGACATATCATGTTATTAATTTAAAGTTAAGGGATTGGTCTGATATGTTTATGTTTGTGTACCTGTCATAAAAGGTGTTTATAGTAAAAGAAGTAAATGACTAAGTATATACAGGCTAAATCCTACATTAGTTAAGGTAACAATCACAGGTTACCACTTTTTTTCAGTGTATGTGAATTCAGTTCTGTTTGCACTACATTCTACTTAATATTCTGTATATATAATAAGTGAGAAGTAATCTCTTATTTTTCTTGTAGGTCTGATGAAAGAGTGCAATGGACTTAAATGCACTTGAAAGTTTTTGACATTTGCCAATGTCAAATCTCACATTTCAAACAGTTCTTAGTGTGAATAAAGAAAACATTTTATAAGAAGTGATCACAAAGATGTTTGAGAGAGGAAATGAGAGCTTACTTTTGCTGAAGTAAGTGAATTCTCCAGGAACATCTGTCTTCTCATATGAATAAACACTGATGGAGCATCCATATGGTCTGTTAATTCAAATATATACAGACTGTTAGTACAGAGCTCAAATATTTTGGTTAAATGTATTTTCCCATCACAATATGTTCCCCCTTTTGTTATTCAATTTGGTGTGAAAATGTAAATATGGAACAATATCCTATCCAGAGTTCTGCACCTTATGCTCCACATGGTCAGATTCACATTTCCATTGGCATCTGGTACTAGAAGGCCTTTAGAAACCTTCAGATGGTTTTTGAACATTGCAAAAAACGGTGACTCATCTGCAAGTCCAATCCGGTACCATTCACCTGCGAACTGACAGGAAATGTAGTAAAGATGGTAAGCAGTTTACTAAAGGCCCCCAAGGGTTCTGTAGTATCAAGTGTTTTGTTAATCACGTACTGTTATTGAAAAAAAAATACAGTGGTTTGAAAAAGAATCTGCAGTCATTTCACAATTTGTTAACATTAGTTAATGACATAAGTTAACCATGAACTAACATTGAAAAATAATTTAAACCATTAAAACCAAAAGCTATATCTGTCAATATTATTTAATGGACCTGAGCTAACATGAACTATCAATGAACAGTTGTACAAGGATTAATAAATGCTGTAATAAATGCTCATTGTTAATGTTAGTTAATGCATAACGTTAACTAACAGGACTTTATTGTGTTACTGAGAACTAGAAATGGTTGCATATTTTCTAACAAAATGTAATGTGGCACAAAGAGAAGCTGACACATGTAACTCAACCTTTATTTTGTTCTTTCTGTGAAAACAGCTTACTCATATTACCAATTAAAGCAGGAATTATGAATAGTTTTAAGATCACTGCATCTGTTTAATATTGAAAAACTTTGATTCGCATTCTTGTGTAGAAATAAAAGCTGATGAACCATGATCTGTTCTTTAAGTAAACTATGGTGATGTGAGAAACTGATGTCCGCCTCTTCACTGTTTGCTTTTGAATTTGAACTTTTGAACAAATGCTACATAAACATACAGATTCACTTGAAATGCCTTGAAAAAAACATGAATTCAATGCTTAAACTACTTACCCCCAAAATCTATTAAAGCACAACCCAAACAACTAAAAACTCATACTCACTTTCTCCATATCAAAGTTGGGCTGAGGTTCAATAACAAGGTGTGTGTTGAAACCATGTGTCCCCAAAAACATACAAAGCAAAAGT